CGTGGGTCCCCACTTATCTAGCCACACTAGCCCTAAAAGATTACTGATTCCATCAGTTTGGGGGGGGGGGGCGAACCTGATCATCTCCCAGTGCTGGGCCATGTCTAACCTAACCGGCTCAGTTAGGTGAGTGGCTGGTGCCCCACTCAGTAGGGAGCCATCTATCTGCTCGAACGTAATGGACTTGGACAGTTTCTTTACCTGGATTCCCAGCTTGGCAGCAGCTGGCAAACTAATCAGGCAGCATGTGTATCCCAAGTCTATTAAGGCTCTGAACTTGCCCTAGACCAGGGGTCTGCAACCTTAAACACTCAAAGAGCCATTTGGACCTGTTTCCCACAGAAAAGAAAACATCAGGAGCCACAAAACCTTTCCCATGCTTGACTATTTCTTGAGCGGCCACAAAACTAGCATATGTAGTTGAATTAAACATTCTGTTTTCTTCTGAAACTTTTATTTTATTTATTTATTTATTCATGGTTGGCCCACCAGGAGTTGAAAAGCTCAATAAATTGCATGCCTGCAGGTGTTGCACATTGGCGTTGTGACACATATTTTGAGTGACAGAAAGCCACAGATTGCTGACCCCTGCCCTAGAACCCTGATTCTGGTGCTGTAATGGTGACTCAAGGCAGTCAAGACCTCTGACAGTTTGTTCAGGCTCAAGAAGTCCTTTATTAAGTACATCATATCAGCATTTGGATAGGTGAAGCTAGCTCTAAAGGGTTCCCCACCCCCTGTATCTTTTAGATCACATGGGCCAATCAGTTCAGCCATAGGTTCCCGCTCAGCTCTGACAGGTGTCAGTTGACATGACCTTAGTCCACACGCTAGCTGGTAGATGTTTTGACTAGCAGCTGAAGCACCACATTCCTAAGCTTCCCAATCCCTTCCCCCCTTGAATGGCAACCAAGAAATGAAGCAGGAGTAAGCATGAGAAAGAATGGCTTTAGCTGAAGTCATTTTGCAGGTTGACACCTTCCCTCTCTCCCTCGCTCCATGCCCAGGAAGGGATGAGGGGCGAGAGAGAAGGTGGCAGCACTGCCAGTGGCTGTGGATTTTCCATGTGGGGGCAGGGCGAGATTTGGGGCAGGGGCCATCCCAGTGAAAGGGAAGCACTCATGGGCTGCAGGGCCAGTGGATGAGGCCAGGCCAACAAACTGGCTATAGAGATGGTGGAGGTGCTAGTAGCAGGCACAGCGCTGCTGCTCGGGAAAGATAGTGCTCATCACAGATCAGTTGGGCATCAGTTGGGTTGGGTCAGGTTGAGGTAGGGGTTGGTCCCAGGGTGGCCCCACGAGCCAGATGTAACCACTTTTCACACCGGATCTGGCCCGCAGGCCTTGGGTTTGACATGTCTGTTCTAATCCATTGATTATAAGATTTCTTCAATTATATAATCCCAATGAAATTTTAAAAAATGAATCTAATTCCATCACTTCTGGAGGCCAGTAGATTTGGGAAAATTTGCCTAATGATTAAATAAAAACTTATTCTTGATACAGCAGGGCTATGCAAGTTTTGGATTCAGTATCCCCCACCCCAAATGCTTTAGCTTCATGAATATACCGTGCATTGCTTTGCGACTTTCTAAAATAAAGCAACTTCAGTAGCCACATTTGTATGAAAACACAAGTCTGTTTTAAAGAGTTGCAGACACTTGCTACATTGTTATAAACTGCTCAGAGTTGTATTCTAAAATGGATAGCCATACAAATCTTTTAAATAAATAAATAAATGTATATATACATACATAAATATATACATACCCACCTTCCTGCTTCCAAGACTTTCAGTATTGAATCCAAAGCATTGTGCACTCTGGTATGCAATGTGTCATACTTTATACCTTCAGGAAAAATTCAAGAGCATCCTTCCTTGTCTACCCAGAGTGATTGAGGAAAAAACATCTTACTAGTTCCTCTGCATCTTACAAAAATTAATATAGTAATGAGATAGTCCATCCTCTCAAGATTACAATCTAAAAGATAGGACCCAAAAAGAAATAGCATAGAAGATCGGGAACAGATGGCCCTGCTACTTTTAAAAAAAATATTATTTGCCCTCCTAAAACATCAATTAAACAAAAACAACAACATGGATATGAGTTGTAAAAGAAAAGCAAGAGGTAGCAGTTCTAAGAAAACTAGAATTACATCAGATAATTTCAGCAATGGGTTCTCTCTTTTGCAGAAAGTATTTTTATTTATCACATTTATATAGTCTCCCATTTCACATAGTGATTCTTGGCAGCATAGATAATAAAGCATTCTCATTAATCATAAAATCATTAAAATTCAACCAAATTAATTTAAAAATGGTAAAAATAAGATGAAGAAATATGCAGGAGAATGTATTCCCATTAATTAATATACAATCATCTACAATCATTCAATAATAGGGTCCCCAACTCAGTTGACAAAACCTTGTTTTAAGCGTTTTCCAGAAGATCAACAGAGACAGCCTCACTTGGGGGGAATTATATTTCACAGTCTGGGACCATCACAGAAAAATATTTCCTCCTAGGTCACACACACAGCAAAATTCCCTCGCTGATGAAACATGTTGTTTCTGTCTTGGTGAGATGGGCAGAGGCAGTCCCTCAAATAACTTGATCCCATGGCAGCTAGGACATTAAAACTCATAACCAGCACCTTGAATTAGACCCCAAAAGAAGCTGGCAAAGTGCAGTTTGCAAAGCAGAAATGTAACGGGTGCAGTCCTTGGAGCACAATAAATTACCTGTGCTGCTGCATTTTGCACTAGTTGAAGCTTCTGGATACTCTTCAAAGGAAACTATATAGAATACATAAAGTTGAGCTTTCTGATCCAGTAATAGGCACAGCTGGTGCACAATTCAAAGCTGTGCAAAGATCCTCCTGGTCACATCTGCCACTTGCTCTTTGAACAGGAATCATGAGTCCAGAAGGACATCCAGATTGCAACTGAGTATGTTTGGTGCACTACAACCTCATCCAGTATCAAAGATGGTAAATGTCAAGATATAGGAAGTCCCGAAACTCAAATTTCTTAATTGATAAAAGCAAAAATCAGTTTTTGATTATAATCCTTTGGTTTTGCTCACACTCTAAACCAGCACTACCACAGATAAATTCATACATAACGCTAAATCATAAATACCAGTTTTGTGCATTCTATTTAGTAAAAACAAATATGTTTATGACCAGTGTGAAGTATGAACCCAGCCTATATTATTTCCAACTTCAGAGATAATATGCCTACCATCAGTAGTGGGAGGAGCAGACTGCATAAAGTTGGATTGGATAGAGTTTTTTTAATCAGATCAAATTTGCTATGTGAATCATTGAATTGTATATTTCCTACTGTGTTTATATGACTGGCCAGAGGGGAAACTGACATATTTCAGTTATTGGTAGGTGATAAAATAAAGGAAGCCCATGTTTGCTACTGATTGTAGATGAAGGATGCTAATAGTGCCAATATTAGAGGTTTTTTATCCCAATAGTTTCTTTAACAGTAACCACTAAAGTACCATAAAAAACAGGGCTGACAGTTGTTTCATAACCATGATTTACTCATCTTTTTTTTTCTTCTTCCTTGCAGGTAAGTAACTTTAGTATCTAGTGCCAGAAAAGGATAGAACTATGTATCATGACATCATATCAACGGCCAGAGATAATTCGAATAAAACAGGTTGCACTGAAGAACTCTGAACTCCAGCTTAGTTTAAAAAAAAATAGCATACCTAGTTTTTTACTGCCAGAAATTGGCAGAAACTTTCAATTACACCTTGTTTGCCTTTAGCATCAGCATTTAAGAGATTCTATAAAAATATGAAACCTTACTATAACACTTTTTTAAAATGAGTAACATTTTCAGTTAAACTTTTCAGAAACCAAATGGCCTAATTCTGAATGAACACTTTTTTCTAATAATTTTTATTAATAGATTTTACATAGATAATAATATATATTCAAAGAAAGAAAAAAGAATTTATTTATTTATTTATTAGAATTCTATGACACACATCTTGCAAAGGCAATTCCAGGCGGTTTACAGTCATTTACAAACTGTACAGTATACAGTCTTATAAAATACACAGGATGAGTGTGAAAAAGAAAAAAAAATGGAAAAAGTAAAAGAAAAGCGAAAAGACAAAGAAATTGCTTCCAATATCATAGCAGTTATGCATATAACTCTAGTCAAACCACTTTCTCTAATTACATCATAACTCTATTCTTTTTATAACTTATTCTTATTTTTTCTAATCATCAAAACTGTAAATCACTTATCTTTCTCATACAAAAGTTCATACAGGGTTTCCAATCAGTGATGAATGTCAGTAATGATCTTTCTCTAATCAAAGAAGTCAAGTTGTCCATATTGCAAATTCTGTCAATTTCACCAAGCATTCCTCCATAGTTAGTAATAACAAATATTTCCATCTTAGTGCATATAGTAATCTCATCACAGTAATCATAAATTGAAATAATCTTATAAGGCTCTTTTCTGTTTACCCATCAATCCTAAAAGAAAAAAAATCTAGCTTCAATTAATTATTTATTTAAAACTCTCTGTATCAATACATATAATTGAATGCATTTTAAAACTTTTTTACATGTCCACCAGACATGATGGATATTGTTCACATTTTGAACATACATTTGAAATGCCTTTATACCTTCTGGATAATTTCTCTGACATCATGTATCAATGATGCATCATTTTATAAAAAATCATGTTAATATAACACAATGTAAATTTCAATCTATTAATAACATTTTCCATTGATTCATCTGTATAGTACAACAAAAATTCTTAACCCATGTTATCATACATTCTTTAATGTATGATATTACATTATAATCTAATAGTAAGGAGGAAGGTAATGTTCTTCCTCCTACTGTGAATGAATAATTTAAGCACCAATCACAAAAATAAGGATCATCCTTATGAGGTTATATGAACTTGTTCCTTTGCTGAAGCATAACTACTTTGCATCTATTTGTTTTTTTCAGACTTTACCAAATGTTGCAAAGACACAGGTTTTCTTATGGTGGTAAAATGCCAAAAGGAAAACAAACTCCTGAAAGACTGTCTCACTGGCCAGTAAGTATAAAGGCACTGAATGGGAAGTCTCCACTCTTCAAAGCATCCATTGCTGTTTGTTTGTTTTTTAATGGCATGATACAGATCTTGCTTCAATTCTACAATATTAATATTAACAGTGTATTGGCCATCAGTTTAGCTGGCTGAAAAATCTGAGAAGGCATTAAGTTGGGAAAATCTATAATATCAGAACACGAGATAATTAGCACTGTTTTTTATTTATTTGTTCCTTGTCAGTTCATTTCTCCCATTTGTTCTTTTGTTGCCATCAGTGTAGCAGATTCTTCATAAAAGAATACAACTCTTGATGATGGACATTTTGAGGAGGAATATCTATAACCCAGCCATTGTCCAGTCATGTTAAACTCCAACTCACCGCTTCTCCAGCCAGTTAGGTTATGGTGGTCTATGGGAATGGGAGTTGTCTGCCTAACACATTGGGGAGACAAAGAGTTGTGGTGGCTTCATTATCCTAAGATCAGAATCACTTATTGTATTGCTGTGGTATTTGAAAGCTGTAGAATTGTTAAGATTTACTTAGAAAATTCGTGATATAAGAAACATACTTATGTGTGGTGTCTCTATTTTTAAAATGATTTGACTTGTAGCAAATACTGAGCATCAAGGGAATGTTAAACAAAATAAAATAGATAAAACAAATTTAAAAAATAAATAAATCCTGCATTGTAAGGAAAATGAAAAAAAAAACATAAATAAGATTTTGTCTTGGGGAAAAAAAGCAGGGATTGGACAGGGATTCTTCCATTTAAAAAAAAAAACCAAAGTTAAGAAACTTTTTAAAAGTCTGAAATGTTCTGTACTACTATGGAGTATTATTAAATCAGGTATCACAACAAAAAAGAAAAAGATGGAGCTAAGACAAAATGTAAGTTTAAGTACATGTATCAGGTTTTGTAATTTGAAACTTTAGAATACTATTCACCACAAAAGCCAGAGAATGGTTACAGGCTAGTATCTAGTTAAATAATTGAGAATTCCATCTTGGATAGAATACAGGTAGTCTTTGCTTAACAGTGGTAATTAGGACCAACAACTAAGGGTTAAGTGCTATTAATGTAAAGCACATCATGTAACTGCAACAACTTATGAGAGCGGCTGTGGCCCTTCCAAATGCCATCATTATGTGAATTTTGCATGGCTACAACCAGTGGTGGGATTCAGGTAATTTAACAACCCGTTCTCTGCCCTAATGATTTCTTCCAACAACCAGTGTGCCAAACTGCTCAGAAAGTTAACAACAGGTTCTCCCGAAGTAGTGCGAACTGGCTGAACGCCACCATTGGCTAAATCCTGTGGTTACGTGATGGCTATCTGCAAACTCCTGCCAGCTTCCCGATTGATTTTGCCAGAAATAAAAGTCACAAATGGCTATCATATGACTACAGGATATTGCAGCTATCATAATTGTGAATCAGTTGCCAAGCATTCTAATCACAATCAAGTTACTGTGGAGATGCTGTGATGCAGTAGTGGGTTTCAATTTCGTTTGCTACCAGTTAGCTCATGGGTGCGCAGGCACGACGCTTCTGCGCATGCGCAGAGATGTCCAGGCGGGCCACCCCTACCGGGGGTGTTCACCTGATCTGGAGTGAAACGGTAGCAACCCACCACTGCTGTGATACTATAACCATGAAGACCTGTCATAGGTTCCCCTCTTTCAATGCCCTTATAACTTTGGTCACTAAAATATTTGGTCAGTGAGAACTACCTGTATTCTTTCTCTTCCCTGTGGGAAAGTTTATATTCTTCCATTACTGAATTTTGCACCTCCTGGGTTATATGCTTTTATTTTCATAGACAAAATTGCTCACTCGTGCATATGATTTCTCTTTCTTTGCAAAGCATTTCACAAAGCCCAACATTAAGCCCCCTTCCATGATTTATTGTGACATCCACATCCTCCAGAAGGTTCAGCATACAGTAGCTATCTTGAGAGTTTTCCATCCATCTTTGCACACAACCACTTGGCTTCCAGATCCAGGGAAAATATTTGTGTGTGCAAAGGACACTTGAAAAACACTCAGGATTATCTATAGAGCCTTCCATAGGACATGGGTGTGAGGGGTACATTTTTATAATTCCATGTAAGGTTTATGTGTTTAGGTAGGCAATGAAGGCACAGAATTCTGAAAATTAGTGTCCCACATAGAGAATTATTTTTGAACTTTTTTTGCCATAACAGATAGGCTCTCATTTAATGCTGATGTGATTTGCATTTCCCTAAACTACTGTGTTTCCCCAAAATTAAGACCCTGTCTTATATTTTTTTGAACCCTGAAATAAGTGCTTGGCCTTATTGCCATGTGCTCAAAAGCCCGATTGGACTTTTGAGGGGGATGTCTTATTTTGGAGAAAACAGGGTATATACCATATTTTTCTGAGTATAAGGTGCACTTTTTCCCCCCTAAAAAAGAGTGGAAATGTTGGTGCATCTTATACACCTAATACAGCTATTTTTGGCCTCCCGAAGCCCTGCCCCGGTCGTTGCATTTTTGCAAAAAATGGGCCCATTTTTCGCAAAAACAGAGCGTGCAGAGGGTTTGGGAGGCCTGCAGAGCGCTCCTGGGAGCTGGGGAGGGCAAAAACACTCCCAATGGGGGGCCTTTTTGTCCTACCCCAGCCCCCAGGAGCACTCTGCAAGCCTTCCAAACCCTCTGCATGCCCTGTTTTTCATAAAAACGGGCAAAAACAGGTCCATTATTGCAAAAAACGGGGTGCGCAGAGGGTTTGGGAGGCCTGCAGAGTGCTCCTGGGGCCGGGAAGGGCAAAACCCTTTTTTTCCTTACTTATCTCTTCAAAATCCTGGTGTATCTTATACACCGGTGCGTATAATAATAATAATAATAATAATAATAATAATAATAATAATAATAATTTTATTTCTATACCGCCCTTCTCCCGAAGAACGCAGGGTGGTGTACAGCCAGTTTAAAAACACAAGACACAACAATAATTAAAAATTAAAATAATTAAATAGATTTGGCTGATTTAAAATTCTAAAAATTAAAATACCCCAATTTAAAATTATTATATTGACAGCCCAGCCTGGCGGAACAACAAGATCTTCAATGCGCAGCGGAGCACCCGGAGGTCGGAGATCTTGTGTATTTCCGGGGGCAGTTCATTCCACAGGGCTGGGGCTCCCACAGAGAAGGCCCTCCCCCTGGGTGTCGCCAGCCGACATAACTTGGCTGATGGCACCCTGAGGAGATCCTCTCTGTGGGAACGGACTGGTCGGTGAGAGGCTATTGGTGGCAGAAGACGGTCTCGAAGGTACCCGGGTCCTATGCCATGGAGCGCTTTAAAGGTGGTAACCAACACCTTGAATCGCACCCGGAAGACCACTGGGAGCCAGTGCAGCTCGCGCAGGAGGGGTGTCACGCGGGCACAGCGAGTTGCGCCCATAACCACCCGCGCGGCCGCATTCTGGACCAGTTGGAGCCTCCGAGTGCTCTTCAAGGGGAGCCCCATGTAGAGAGCATTACAATAGTCCAGCCGGGAGGTGACAAGGGCATGAGTGACCGTGCGCAAGGCGTCCCGGTCCAGAAAGGGCTGCAACTGGCAGATCAGGTGAACCTGATAAAAGGCCCCCCTGGCCACAGCCGTCATATGCTCTTCTAAAGACAGCCGTTCGTCCAGGAGGACACCCAGATTGCGAGCCCTCTCTGTGGGGGGCAAGGATTCACCCCCAATAGTCAGCGATGGCACCTGCTGACTATATCGGGACGCCGGCAACCACAGCCACTCGGTCTTGGATGGGTTGAGTCTGAGCCTGTTCCTCCCCATCCAGGCCCGCACAGCCTCCAGGCAGCGAGACATCACATCAAGGGCATCATTGGGGTGGTCTGGGGTGGAGATGTACAGCTGAGTATCATCAGCGTACAGGTGACACTTCACCCCAAAACCACGGATGATCTCACCCAGCGGCTTCACATAAATGTTGAACAGAAGAGGCGAGAGGACCGACCCTTGTGGCACTCCCCATGCGAGATGCCTCGAGGTCGACCTCTGCCCCCCTGCCAACACGAACTGCGAGCGGCCGGAGAGGAAGGAAGAGAACCACCGCAAAACGGTGCTCCCTACTCCTAACCCTCTCAACCGCTGCAGCATGATACCATGGTTGATGGTATCAAAAGCCGCTGAGAGATCTAATAGGACTAGGACAGAGGAGCAACCCCTGTCCCGGGCCCTCCAGAGATCATCCACCAACGCGACCAATGCCGTTTCTGTGCTGTGCCCCTGCCTGAAGCCCAACTGGTATGGGTCTAGATAGATAGCTTCATCCAGGTGCCTGGGCAGTTGTTGTGCCACCACACTCTCAACAACCTTTGCCACAAAACGAAGGTTGGAGACCGGACGGTAGTTAACTAATTCAGCCGGGTCCAGGGAAGGCTTCTTGAGGAGGGGCCTCACCACCGCCTCTTTCATGGCGGCGGGAAAGGCACCCTCACTCAGAGAAGCAGTTATAATCCCCTGGAGCCAGCCTCGTGTAACCTCCCGGGAGGCCAGTACCAACCAGGAGGGACACGGGTCCAATAAACATGTGGCGGCACTAATCCTACCCAGAACCCTGTCCACATCCTCGGGAGCCACAGGATCAAACTCCTCCCAGATAATATTCTCAAGACCTACCCTCGTCTCCTCCCCCGGACTCGCCCAGTCGGAGTCCAAGCCTTCCCAAATCCGAGCGACTTTATCGTGCAGGAATTGCACAAAATCCTCAGCTCGACCCTGCAAGGGATCCTCCCGCACTCCCCCCCCCCGAAGAAGGGAGTGGGTCACCCTAAACAGGGCGGCTGGGCGGTTCTCTGCAGATGCGATAAGAGCGGAAAAATGGTTAGATTTTATAGTCCAAAAAATATGGTACTTTAGATAGTTGGTGTTACAAGGTTCCCAGTACTATTCCTTCTTGCTCTATAACTTTTGTAATTGAGTGGAGAAATTAATGCACATATTTTGCCTATTTTTTTTAGCTATAGTGATCCAGCATTTTATGAAGAATGCAAGGCTGAATATTTGAAAACCAGGGAAGAACACAGGGCAGCACAAGATGTTCCTCATCAGAAGCATTCTACTAGCACCTAGACAAGTTGTATGGCCATTTGAAACTTGAACTTATGTAAGCACAGAAACTTCTTTCTGACTTCCTCAGTCTAAATCTCTCAAAATAAATGAAACTAAAATACAGAAATCCTGAAGAACCTGCCTATGCTAAAAAAGCTAATCAAATCTGGCTATTCAATTTAGTACCTCAGTAGTAATTCCTCAGTTCATTTAAATATGCAGCTGTTCCACAACACATTCAGTCACTGTATATACAGTCAGGTCCAGAAATATTGGGACATCAACACAATTCTAACATCTTTGGCTCTATACACCACCACAATGGAGTTGGAATGAAACAAACACAATGTGTGTTAACTGCAGACTGTCAGCTTTAATTTGAGGGTATGTACATCCAACTCAGGTGAACGGTGTAGGACTTACAGCAGTTTGTATATGTGCCACCCACTTGTTAAGGGACTAAAAGTAATGGGACAATTGGCTTCTCAGCTGTTCCATGGCCAGGTGTGTGATATTCCCTCATTACCCCAATTACAATGTGCAGATAAAAGGCCCAGAGTTCATTTCAAGTGTGCTATTTGCATTTGGAATCTGTTGCTGTCAACTCTCAAGATGAGATCCAAAGAGCTGTCACTATCAGTGAAGCAAGCCATCATTAGGCTGAAGAAACAAAACAAACCCATCAGAGAGATAGCAAGAACATTAGGCGTGGCCAAAACAACTGTTTGAAACATTCTCAAAAAGAAGGAATGCACCGGTGAGCTCAGCAACACCAAAAGACCCGGGAGACCACAGAAAACAAGTGTGGTGGATGACCGAAGAATTCTTTCCCTGGTGAAGAAAACACCCTTCACAAGAATTGGCCAGATCAAGAACACTCTCCAGGAGGTAGGTGTATGTGAGTCAAAGTCAACAATCAAGAGAAGACTTCACCAGAGTAAATACAGAGGGTTCACCACAAGATGTAAACCATTGGTGAGCCTCAAAAACAGGAAGGCCAGATTAGAGTTTGCCAAACAACATCTAACAAAGCCTTCACAGTTCTGGAACAAGATCCTATGGACAGATGAGACCAAGATCAACTTGTACCAGAGTGATGGGAAGAGAAGAGTATGGAGAAGGAAAGGAACTGCTCATGATCCTAAGCATACCACCTCATCAGTGAAGCATGGTGGCGGTAGTGTCATGGCGTGGGCATGTATGGCTGCCAATGGAACTGGTTCTCTTGTATTTATTCATGATGTGACTGCTGACAAAAGCAGCAGGATGAATTCTGAAGTGTTTTGGCAATATTATCTGCTCACATTCAGCCAAATGCTGCAGAACTCATTGGACAGCACTTCACAGTGCAGATGGACAATGACCCAAAGCATACTGCAAAAGCAACCAAAGAGTTTTTGAAGGGACAGAAGTGGAATGTTATGCAATGGCCAAGTCAATCACCTGACCTGAATCCCATTGAGCATGCATTTCACTTGCTGAAGACAAAACTGAAGGGAAAATGCCCCAAGAACAAGCAGGAACTGAAGACAGTTGCAGTAGAGGCCTGGCAGAGCATCACCAGGGATGAAACCCAGCGTCTGGTGATGTCTATGCGTTCCAGACTTCAGGCTGGGATTGACTGCAAAGGATTTGCAACCAAGTATTAAGAAGGGAAAGTTTGATTTATGATTATTATTCTGTCTCATTACTTTTGGTCCCTTAACAAGTGGGAGGCATATATGCAAACTGCTGTAAGTCCTACACCGTTCACCTGAGTTGGATGTACATACCGTCAAATTAAAGCTGACAGTCTGCAGTTAACGCACATTGTGTTTGTTTCATTCCAACTCCATTGTGGTGGTGTATAGAGCCAACGATGTTAGAATTGTGTCCCAATATTTCTGGACCTGACTGTACCTATTTTTCAGGACACCGCAAAATAAATCTCCATCTTTTGTTCTTATTTATTCGGACAATATAAATTTTACAGTATTTAAAATATGATAGAATGGAGTTCTTTGGGAAGGAAAGATTGTGTGCTGATTTCCCAATAGTTCTTTTTAATTTTAATGGCATTCCACTTTTGACTCTACCACAGTGAAGTATTTGGTTGCATATGATTAATATTTGCAAGTAACAGAGCAGAGATCATCTGCAAGATTTCTTCACTTTATAATTACCTAATAGGTTTGGTTTGCCAAGTGAATGTCCTCCAGAGAATGATATATCTGAACTGAATGCGGATCTTTGAGAGAAACTCCACACAAAATTTTAAAAGTAGAATTGCTTGAGAAGAAGAGTTCCTACAGATTGCCACCTGATAGGTGTTAAGACATATGAAGAATATAATCATTTTGAAGTCCCAACCCATTAATAATCATTGAATTTAAGAAGGCTGCTAGAAAGCTTTTAGAAAGGGAAATGGATGGTTCAAAAAACAACAACAATGCAGGTAGTCGTTGACTTACAAGTTAGTTTAGTGATGTTCAAAGTTACAACAGCACTGAAAAGTGACTTATGACTGTTTTTCACACTTATAACGTTATAACATTGCAGTATCTCCATGGTTACATAATCAAAATTCATATACTTGGCAATTGACTCATATTTGTGGCAGTGTCCCAGTGTCATCTGATAACCTTTCCAACCTTCTGACAAGCAGTCAATGGGGAAGTTAAATTCACTTCACAACCATGTTACTAATTTAACAACAGTAGTGATTCAGTTATCAACCATGGCAAGAAAGGTAGTGAAATAGAGCAAACTGTCTCTCTAGTAACAGAAATTTTGGGCTCAATTGTTGTCATACGTTGAGGACTACCTATATAAATTGCTTGTTAAATATGAAAATAAGCCATTCTGCTAATCTTTCTGTTATATGCATCAGTAAATTAGATCTCTTACCAAGAAAACATGTACAATTGGATAGGAATAACACAGTTAATGTGTTAATAACACAGTTAGAACAATTAATCAGTGGAAGAACTTGCCTCCAGAAGTTGTGAATGTTCCAACACTGGAAGTTTTTAAGAAGAGGTTGGATAACCATTTGTCTGAAGTGGTGAACGGTTTCCTGCCTAAGTAGGGGGTTGGACTAGAAGACCTCCAAGGTCCCTTCCAACTCTGTTATTCTATTCTATTCTATTCTATTCTATTCTATTCTATTCTATTCTATTCTATTCTATTCTATTCTATCTTATTCTATTCTAAAGTTCAGCCTGCATCCTTACTGTGACTTTAAGTTTATAGAGAAACAAAAGAATACTTGTGGAAGGAGCCCATGACATTCCAGGTATTATTAGACTATAACTTCCATTATTCCTGACCACCAGTTATGGTAGGTTTAGTGGGAAAACAATTTCCTTAGAGAAATTATGTAAAAATAAATAATAAAAGCAAATAGAGTGTTACAAATTTCACTAATCTGTTTATAAATGCTGGAAATTTCAGAAGATGTAACATTATCTTTGCAAAGAAAGAATCACTAAAAGCTCATAGGTTTCTTAGTCATATACTGTAATTTATTGTTTGTGCCATATTTCCCAATGTTTTTATGCTGTTATATTTAGGGAAATAAATTTTGATCCATTTGGAGAGCTTGAATTTGTGAGAAGATTTAAAATACAACATTTGAAGAGTGAAGACAGTGTTAACATCATTTTACATCTGATATTCATCAATTCTACCATCAAAATGTACAGTAGTGTGGTATTAGGATGATTTCTTGAGTTATATCTGAGATGCAAAGAAAGAATCCAGATAAAACAGGTGATGTGAAAGCCGAGACAAAAGTGGGTAACAGAAGGAACTTTATAATGTGGAGTTGAGCTTTGTAATGTGGGGCTATTTTAATGACATCAAATAAAAAAAAATGTGTCTCTATTTAACTGTTTATGCAACCCTTTTCAAATATATGGTAAAAATGATTCTCAGGGAATTTATTCTCATCCAATATATATGAAAATAAAGCTTCATGAATTTTAGCATTTTGTTTTTTCCCGTAATGTGAAGAATATTGTATCACAAAATATATTGTATCACTTATGTCATATTAAATAAGTGGTATGTAATGACTCATCTCAAATTTGACTGAAATTTAACTTATTTTTCATTGTTATATATTTTCCCCTCATTTCATTTAAAAAAAAATCTATTGCGCATGGCAAAGAGTTTCCAGCTTTTACATTGTTTTTTATTGATCACTGGTTGATATATATAAAATAGATGGTCCCTATTTTTTTCATAATATCTGAAATAAGGGGCTAGGGCAGCAAAAGATTGATCAGTAAAAAATACTGAGGTGTAAAATGTTATGACTTTGGAACCTGCTCTCTTTGGAACCTGCTTTGAGTGTATTGTACATGAAAAACAAAACACAGCCCCATTCTGAGTCCTACAGTTATTTATGACTTCTGATTTGGCTGCTTTTTAACAAAGTTTTCTAACCAGTACAGCAGAGATAAATCAAGTCCCCACTGTTATCGGTTTTAGCCAGGATGAATGGGGCAGTGTTGAAAGAATAAACACATGGTCAGACAAAAGTCTGCCTGGAAAATTGCTTTTCTCTGAACTTTGCTATGGGAAAGTCCACAAACGATTGGGTAGATTGCATGAACAATGTACTGCAATTTACTTTGCAAGCAGTTTTGGATGCGTATACATGCATATGTGCATTTGCTGAAGATATAGAGTTCTAGCTTTTGATTAGTTAATTTTTTTGGTGTACACGTGCAGTCTGCTAGCTCTAGGGTTCTGCTATAATTTCATGCATCAGCAGGCTAGCAATAAAAAAATTTAGCTTAAAGAAAACTGAGCCCCAGGGCTTTTAAAAAAGGAAAAAATTCTGTTCTCCTTTTAATGCTGATGTACTCTTTTAGATCAGGGCTCTCCAGTCCCCAGGCCATGGTCCACTACCAGGCCATGAACCGGACCATGCAAGCAGTGGGTGCTTGCACTCATGCACAAAGTTCCATTTGTGTGAGCAGTGGGTGCTTGGGCTTGCGCCTGAAGCTCACTCTCGCAAGTGCAAATGGAGTTGCACACATTCATGCGCACATTCATACCACTCACATGGAACTATCCCCTCTCCCCCTCTACCAGTCCGCCAAGACAGAAAGTTGGGGTTGCTGTTTTAGATTATATCATATGGTATTCTAAGTAGATTTTTAATTGAAGATCTAAAAGAACTGTATTCCTGTTGTTTCCTACTACAATTTTAACAATTTTTAAAATAAATGTTCTGCAATTTGGGTTGTAGCATTTAGCATAGTATATCCCCAACCTACCTTTGTAGCTCTGGATTAAAAAATAAGGGAATAGCTGATCTTTAATTCTAGTTATTACTAATGGCAGAACTAGAAACTCTTATTCCAAGAGAACATTGGCAGCTAAAAATAATTTTTCAAATGGTGCTACCTGCATGAAACTTGAAATAAAATGTATTCTTTTTTCATTAGCACCAGTAAGAATGATAGATTTAAGAGGCAAACTTTGATTAAATTTACCTTGTAAGCACTTCAGATTTATAATGTCATGAATGTTTCATGATACACACCCCTCCTGACATTGAACTCAGTTTTTAAGTATGGTAGTAAGAATCAAAAAGTGACCATTTCTCAGATTTAAAAAAAATGTTTATTTTCTATAAATTAGCCATCTAAATTACATTTCATTTAAGAAAACCACATTAATATAGGCTTTAAAGGGTTCTGTATCAAGGAGTTTTAAGAGATTAAAATGTCATTTCAGTGTCTCAGAGCAACTCATAAAACACAACAGGCATGATTAGAAATGGTTCACCCAATCTTTTATATTTAGTACAGGAGTTTTATTTGCTTTTTTTCCAATTTCCTTTTCTAATGTATTCTACTTTAATCTATTTAAAAATATAAGTTTTAAGTTAGATAACATTATTTTAGATATATAAATGAAATAATCAAATGTTAGGGTCAATTTAAAGCCTTTCTACCCCAAGAACGTCTTGATTTGGAAGGGGAAGAGAATGCTACATTCCTAAATTGAAAGAAGTTTACACATTCCTAATTATAACAATGAAACCTACTACAGATTTTGTTTTCCACTCAGATACAGAATTGGGTTGGAATCAGAATTTGCTCAAATTTAGGATTTTAATTAGTATAGGTAAATATACAGCTCAGAACACTCAAAATAAAAAAAGGTTTCAATTGCATACATTTGTTTCAAACAAAAATAAGTTTTTTAAAAACATGTCTGGATCCTAAATACATCGTTAAAAACATGAAGCAGCTTGGCATGTTGAATAATGGAAATTTATTCAAGAATCCGTAATCCAAAAAAGCAGTCCTGAGAAACATTAGAGCTATGCAGTCACAGAAATGGCTACTGTTACTTCTTTTTATTACACAGGTAGTTGGTTCTATCAGCTGAAGTCAGTGGCTTAGATTTATTATATGCATATTGGGGTTTGTTCTATTACTCTACAGGAGGATTGTACTCCCTTGAGTCAGCTATGTTCATTGGTCAGAATAAATTCCTGCATCTGACACCATTTCCATTAATCACAGACAAGGTAGGATATGTGAAGAAGACAAGATTTTTTTTAAATCTGAGGAACATTATGTGTGCCATTCATTAACACAGGAAAAAAATGCCATACTTTCACCTCCCTCCTCAGATTATTTTCTCTTTAATAATATAAGGAAGAAAGCACCAGTACTGAATTATACAAAATGCAATGCATAGGAAGAAGGGGAAGATAACACTGATATGGTTGTGCTGCTCATCTACACAACCACATGGGATGTTTTTATCTTTCAGAAACATACAATTATTTTTTCCACTATAGATTTTACTTTTCTGTATTCATGTTTCTTTACTTTTCTGTATTCATGTTTCAAGAACACATTCAGAAACAAATGAGAAATGGCAGGATACATGAAGTGTACATGTTTGTACCTTTCCCCCCACTCTTTCTGCATCTCAAATACCAGGTACATAAAACTACTGTTAGAAATCTACCCATTTATATGCTGGTAAAAGCATCTCTACTGATTTGAGGGTATAGGAGTTCAATCAAAATTTACTGCTAATAAAATGAGACAGAAAAGATGTAAAATCTTTGGTACTACAGTGGTTTAAAGCACCCTGTTATTAACACAGCTGCCTGCAATTTACTGCTGGTTCGAATCTCTCCAAGGCTCAAGGTTGACTCAGCCTTCCATCCTTTCTAAAGGTAGGTTAAATGAGGACCCAGTTTGTGGGGGCAATAAGCTGACTTTGTATAAATATACAAAAGTATGAAGGCTATTGCTTAACGCACTGTAAGCCGCCCTGAGTCTCCGGAGAAGGGCGGCATATAAATCAAATTAAAAAAAAAAAAAAATTATTTCAGTGCTGTTAAACAACCAGGTTACCATGTATGCAGTATTTTGGATCAAATGCATCTTCTTTAGTATAGAATATATCAGAAATGTGGAATCACAGAAAGATTACATTATTTGGAATGTTACAGTTCTTCCTAGCTGTATTAAGGAGCCTGGATATTTCACCTCAAAACAATCATAGCATTTTAGACAGGAAATCCCTCCAAAAGGGAGCAATAAATACATAATGTTATTTGTGAAGTGATGAGATATTTTACTGGAGCATTAAGAAACTTTTCCATTTGACCCTATTTCAATTTTTTTTACCATGGGGTAATGAGGATAAGTTGATAAATTGAAAAAAAGGAATGAAAGTAATTTTTACACAATTCATTTGCTCCTTTTCAGCATATCCATTAATAAAAAGCCAGAGACTGCCTCAGAATTTAATATATTAATTACCTGAACTTAAAACTTGTCCAAAAACAAGTCCTTCTCATGGCTTGTCAAAATGTTTGAATGTAACATACTTTGGAGCAATATTATTCATATCACGTTGCTTTTGTTTTATTCCACAATTTAATATTTTAGAAATCTGCCAATGTGTAATCAGAAAATTGAGGATATAACAGATCATTTACCATATTCCTTTGGACTCACTGTTTTTCAAGTTTAGATAACAGGGAAAATTTCATCCAACTTGAAAGTCCATTATACTCCACTCTATTACTTATTTTCTACTAACAAGTACAAGACCTTGTTCAGGACTACTTTCAAGTTCCTTCTACTGTTCTTAGCTCTTATGCAAGCAATTTTGGTTATACTGATCCAAGTTGTTTCCTGGAAAGTTTAAGTGAGTCACTCTGTTTTTCATTTCCCAAAATACTGTTTCACTAGGTTTTGGAGGGCTTGGAAATACCCAAGAATTATCTTCCAGAGAATTTTTTCCATAGGAGTTATGTTCCAGAAATGGAGAGTCACATGCAGAGCTAAATTTCTCATTAGTACATGGTGAGGATGATGCAAGAGTACCAAAAACATCACCACTTGTTTGAAGTAATCTATTTTTGCATATTGCTCCAGAAGCACCTAAGTGGAGATTGGTAGCATCCCTTTCAAGATCTTCAATACACTGAACAGAGGTATAGGATGGCACTGTGGAAAGAACCAAGCATGTTTAATTTGGGGGCTAATGTGAATCAATTCTGCTTAATAAAATTCAGATGCTATTAACAATGCCTACCAGATATCTGTTCCTTTAATTAAAGATTTATCTCTTGATATGTGATTGTAGGAAGCTTGTTCTTCCTTTGATCAGCTCTCATATTTATTCCTATACAACCTGTACCTTATAGACTAATCCAGCATGGATGGCCTTTTTAACTTTTAACACACCAGAGGAATAATAAGAGCTAACTTTCCCACCCCTAACTTTTAACCCTTAGCCCTATGCTTCCTTAAAACAAGCAGCCTCGGGAGAATCTCTCAACAAAGTATATGATAAAACACACTGGTTTTGGCCCTGTGCATTTCCTTAAATTCATTTTAAAATGCAACTTTAATCTTTTTCACCTTATGACATAATCATGAGCCAATTAAACATACATATTTAATTTGGCTTCCATTCACATAAAAACAGATGACAATTTGTATTCAAGTGCCTTTCAATGTTGGAAGAAAGATTGGAATTTAAGAATTTTGAGGGTGGAAAAAAATTCCTGAGCAGTCAATTTTCCATTTAAAAATAGGCTTGGAATCTAATTATCAAAAGTACTTTCTCTGTAGAAATACTGTGTATAAAATGAAACTTAAGATTAACAAATTACAGTAGTAAAAAGATAATAAATCATATTTTTTTTATATTCTTAAAAAATTAACTAAAAGTAAAAGTACATTTGAAAACTGAAGAGTTATCTAGTGTTTTTAAAAATATAAAATAGTTCCAATAAAAGGTCAAATACAACTAACACCTCAGCCTTGTACAAATAGCATCTGATTGAGGGGGGAAAGTGACAAGAAAATACAGCATAAAAAGGAAAACCGCATCAGCAACACCTTTATGTGTGAAGTTGACCAGTTAGAGAAAGAAAGTAGATTGGAATTACAATAAAAATGAGGCTTATCAGTCTAAATTGATACAACTGAGTTAAGATGTAGTAAACCTGCATTTCAAAATGATGTAGTATAGTTCTATGCACTGTTTTCAGATTTTTAATTGTGCAAACCTGTACTTGCCTTTCTTAGTTGTAGATGGAATCAGTTTCAGTTTCTTCAGCATCTCAACTTGCACTTTAGTCACCAGATGCAAATTAGACATCTCCCTCTTCAGTTCCCTGTATACCTGCTGAATGCGTTCACTAGAACACATTTTAAAAGTTTAAGCAGATAAGAAACTTCAAAAGATAATGATTCAAAGAACAAGAGGAAGGATGCAATACCTTGATATAAAAGACTAAGGTCTAACTCCTTAATTTATACAAAATATACTTTTGATTCATTGGTTTAACAAAATACTACTGTGTGGCAACAGATGAAGAGAAAGTACACGTAAATTCTTAACATTTATAAATATTTCTTCAGTGACTCTTCAATATTTCAACAGTGCTGAACAAATGGTACTTAAGACTTGTCCTCAAAATTCCAGTCACTGCAACATCCCCATGGTCACATGATTCTGATCCGGATATCCAGCACACAATTACAACACTCTAGCAAGCCATGGTCACATGCTCACAAAATCCAATCAGCTTTGCACAAATAAGGGAAGCTAGCAGGAAGTCAAAAATCACATGAGGTCCTCACTTAACAACAGCAATCAGGCCTACCAGAATTACTAAGCAATGGCAACTTGGGTCCAATTGCCATTGCAAGCCAAATCTGTATTAATGGCTCCCTACTAGTGCTTATCCGCAACTTTTTAATGTATTTTAATTAGTTCTGTATTTGGCATTGATGGTCTTCGCTTAACGATCTCATTTTAAGATACATGCACACACTTATTTGCTCACCCTGAACCATCATAAACGGCTTCATTTAGCAATCCCTAGTTCTAAAATTATAGAGAAAAAATAATTTGCTACCTACCCTCCCCCTACCACTGATCTCCGGTATACTGAGAAAGACCAGTAAAATATAGGAGCTTTTCCTCTTTTTTTTTTTTTGACTGAGTCAGACCTGACTTCATGTGACTAAATAAGTGTTTGCAGTTTTGTAGGCACCATTTATAGAATTGGTTTGCCATTGCATTGTTCCAAGGGCTGAGGAGAATGACTGGCCCCAAGTCACCCACTTGACCTCCAAACATAGGGTCTAATATACAGTCAGATCCAGAAATATTGGGACATCGACACAATTCTAACATCTTTGGCTCTATATACCACCACAATGGAGTTGGAATGAAACAAACACAATGTGCTTTAACTGCAGACTGTCAGCTTTAATTGAGGGTATGTACATCCAACTCAGGTGAACGGTGTAGGACTTAACAGCAGTTTGTATATGTGCCTCCCACTTGTTAAGGGACCAAAAGTAATGGGACAATTGGCTTCTCAGCTGTTCCATGGCCAGGTGTGTGATATTCCCTCATTACCCCAATTACAATGTGCAGATAAAAGGCCCAGAGTTCATTTTAAGTGTGCTATTTGCATTTGGAATCTGTTGCTGTCAACTCTCAAGATAAGATCCAAAGAGCTGTCACTATCAGTGAAGCAAGCCATCATTAGGCTGAAGAAACAAAACAAACCCATCAGAGAGATAGCAAGAACATTAGGCGTGGCCAAAACAACTGTTTGAAACATTCTCAAAAAGAAGGAATGCACCAGTGAGCTCAGCAACACCAAAAGACCCGGGAGACCACAGAAAACAAGTGTGGTGGATGACCGAAGAATTCTTTCCCTGGTGAAGAAAACACCCTTCACAAGAATTGGCCAGATCAAGAACACTCTCCAGGAGGTAGGTTATGTGGGTCAAAGTCAACAATCAAGAGAAGACTTCACCAGAGTGAATACAGAGGGTTCACCACAAGATGTAAACCATTGGTGAGCCTCAAAAACAGGAAGGCCAGATTAGAGTTTGCCAAACAACATCTAACAAAGCCTTCACAGTTCTGGAACAAGATCCTATGGACAGATGAGACCAAGATCAACTTGTACAGAGTGATGGGAAGAGAAGAGCATGGAGAAGGAAAGGAACTGCTCATGATCCTAAGCATACCACCTCATCAGTGAAGCATGGTGGCGGTAGTGTCGTGACGTGGGCATGTATGGCTGCCAATGGAACTGGTTCTCTTGTATTTATTCATGATGTGACTGCTGACAAAAGCAGCAGGATGAATTCTGAAGTGTTTTGGGCAATATTATCTGCTCATATTCAGCCAAATGCTGCAGAACTCATTGGACAGCGCTTCACAGTGCAGATGGACAATGACCCAAAGCATACTGCAAAAGCAACCAAAGAGTTTTTGAAGGGACAGAAGTGGAATGTTATGCAATGGCCAAGTCTATCATCTGACCTGAATCCCATTGAGCATGCATTTCACTTGCTGAAGACAAAACTGAAGGGAAAATGCCCCAAGAACAAGCAGGAACTGAAGACAGTTGCAGTAGAGGCCTGGCAGAGCATCACCAGGGATGAAACCCAGCGTCTGGTGATGTCTATGCGTTCCAGACTTCAGGCTGTGATTGACTGCAAAGGATTTGCAACCAAGTATTAAGAAGGGAAAGTTTGATTTATGATTATTATTCTGTCCCATTACGTTTGGTCCCTTAACAAGTGGGAGGCACATATGCAAACTGCTGTAAATCCTACACCGTTCACCTGAGTTGGATGTACATACCCTTAAATTAAAGCTGACAGTCTGCAGTTAAAGCACATTGTGTTTGTTTCATTCCAACTCCATTGTGGTGGTGTATAGAGCCAAAGATGTTAGAATTGTGTCAATGTCCCAATATTTCTGGACCTGACTGTATTTCCATGTTTCTAGTCCAATACCTAACCTCTAGACAAAAAATACACAAACATATTTATAATGAACTCTCATGTCAACTAAGCATCAGGATGCTTAAAACTTTTTTTTTTAGTTTTTCCATAATAAGTGTGGCTAAGGTCAAATTGACTAGCTTTAAGTATCACACATACTCTCCTCAAAATTGTGACCCAGCATGTGTGGGATACCTAATAAAAAAATTGAAAAATGTGGATAGCTGAAAAAAGTATTGCAGTTTATAGCAATGGTTATTGGGAGAAACAGATTATGAGATTAAATTCTATATTGCAGTATGGAAGGATGATTCAGTCACCATAAATGCCCATTTCTTGGTATGCAAACATACATGCTTAACTTTTATGTTTCTAGCCTTGTAAAGCAGTAACACCAGTTGTTATGTACTGACAGATTGGCGCATGCATGTCAGCCACTGCCAGGCGAGGGCGCTCTTCTGGTGGGAATGAGCAGAGCGCTCATTGGATAAGACGCTGACAGCTCGAGTATTTAAGAGCTGTCAAAGCCTGACAGAATTGCTTAGTTCCTCAGTTAGTTGTTGTTGTAGAGATGCAGCCGTTGCTGTTAACTCGTTCTAATTAAAGGAATGGTTATGGTTAATTGAATTGGCCTCGTTTATGCCTACCCACCTCAGTATTTATCACTGGTGACGAGGATGGGATTGTGAGGCAGCAAATCAACAACTACGTTTCAGCTGTCACTGAGCTATTAACCATACCGGAACGCAGAGTAAGTGCCTCAGGCAACCGTCCGGGCACCATGGTTACCCTAACGATGTTTGCGCCCTTTAACCAGACGCAGGAGACATGGGACTCTTTCCTAGACAGGTTTGACTGTTTCTTAGCAGCTAATGACTATAAGGCTTTACCAGGTGATCGGAAGCAAGCTGTTTTCCTCAGCGTCTGTGGTCATGAGATGTTTGAGACTGCGAGAGCTCTATTAGCGCCCCTGAGGGTTCAGGACGTACCCTGGGATACTCTGATGGCCAAGTTAAAAGGACATTATGCCCCACTGCCTTCCCGTGTTGCTAGGCATTATGCTTTCTGCCACAGATATCAGGCTGAAGGGGAAACGATTAACCAATACATGGCCACGTTAAGAATAGCCGCCTTGTATTGTGAATTCCGAGACCTAGATGACCTCCTGCTGGATCAATTAATTTGTGGGGTACGGGATCTTAATCTACTATGCCTTCTGTTGGCCAGAATGGACGCCACCTTGCAGTGGGCAATTGATGAGGCCCGTGTATCCGAGCTGTCAGATAAGTCCTCGAACGAAATGCAGAAGAAAGCTAGCCCTGCATTAGCGAAACAGGTGTCAGCTGTTCACCATGAAGACATAGACTCAGACCACTCCACAGATGACAAAGGGGTAAGCCGTTTGAAGGCAGAGCCTAAGAAGGATCGGGACCCCGAGAAGCGGAAGGCACAAAGTTGGTGCGATGGTTGTTGCGGAAACCACAACTGGTCTTCCTGCAGATTGAGGAACGCAGAGTGCAGGTGATGTGGCAGGAAAGGCCACATAGCCAAAGTCTGCTGAGCTGGCCAACCATCCACAGTTAAGCCTAATAGACCATTTCCCGGGGAAGCCCAACCACAAGGTAGACAAGGCCCCTGGGGGGAGAGTGCTTTACCATCTATCGAGACACGCACAGCCCTGAGGTAGTTGTTGGCCAGGCCAGCAGGGACGTAAAAAGAAAATTTTTTCTCACTTTGTTAATTGAGAGTATTCCATGTAAAATGGAAGTTGATACGGGATCCTCAATGTCCATAGTGTCATGGAGCACCTTTAAACGCCTGTTGCCCAAAATTTCAAAACGCCATTTGTCTCCATGCAATATTAGGTTGCGGGACTATCAAGGTAACTCCATTTCCATTTTGGGGCGCGGATACGTTAGAGTGCAATATAACAATTTTAGGGGCCGCCTGCAAATCATCGTTGTCAGCGGCTCGTTGCCCAATCTCCTGGGGTTAGATTGGTTTGATGCCCTGGGTCTGGCCATAACGGGGGTTAATAGGACTAGCGAGGATAAATTTGCCTCCTTATTTGATGAGTTCGCTGACGTATTCAGCGAGGGTCTTGGTACCTGCAGAGGTTCCCCTGTATCTTTTAGCCTGGATCCTGGGGTTGCCCCCATCAGGCTCAAACCTAGAAGAGTCCCCCTGGCACTCCTGCCCAAGGTTGATCAGGAACTAGATAGACTAATTAGTCAAGGGATCCTGGAGCCTATGGACTACGCTAAATGGGAGACCCCCATCGTGCTGGCAATTAAACCTAACGGCTCCCTTCGAATTTGCACCGACTATAAGGCGACATTAAATAAGGCGTTGCAGTCCAACCCGTATCCTTTTCCTGTGG